TTTCTTCAGACTTCCATACGTTTGGGAGCTCGACTAACATCACTCACTGAAAAACTGAAGTGGAATCATGCGACATAAAAGTGAAAAACCTTGAGAGTCAGATTCTACAGAGAAGGTCTCAGTGAGAAAGAAATTCTATCTTTTGTTTAGTTAAACTCCATTTCATCATTTTCGTCGCCAAAAACATTTAAACATTTTCATATTGAGTTTTGTCTTTATCTTGCTACAATATTGTTTGTTTGCCTAAAAAGAGTTGTCCTTTACTTATAAACTAGGTAACTACCCGCGTTACGCTGTGGAATATTTTTCTAAATTTTGAATATATTTTGAATATAATAAAATTATTTTTATAATATAAATAAATATTATTTTTTTATTAGCTTAAGTTATGTATTTATGTGTTTTTAATTTGATTAATAACTTTAATTTTTTTATTTTTTGAAATTATTATTTGCTATTAAATTTATTTAGCTAACTAATTATATATGTATATGTAAGAATAAAGCAATATATTTTTAGTACATTCATGCTAATGGCAAATGTAATCTATTTTCTCCAATAAATTATCACGTGATCCTCCTTTGTAATTATATAAAGCAAAATACCATTTAAAAAAGATTTCTTAATTAATCTAATTATTTTAAATTATAAAATTTATTTATTTATTAAATATTTATTATAAACATATGTTTCTAAAACTACCAAACTATAATCAATAACATTCATATCAAAACCATTGCTATTGTTTTAGAACTAAATTGAAAACTCAGTTTGAACTGTTGAAATGTCATTTTAGTTGAAGTTAAATAATTAAATTTTCGGATACTATAGATATACTTTAACTTGGAAACTTAGCACAGAAAAATTTTATCTTCTTACAAAAACCGAGAAATCGCATTTCCCATCAAAACAAAAAAAAAATCATTTTTCCATGAAACTGAGAAAGTGCATATTCCCGCCAAAACAAAAAAAAAATTATTTTCTCGTCAAACCTAAAACCTAAAATTTCATTTTTCCACGAGAACCTATGTTTTCTCACAAAAACCGAAAAATCATGTTTTTTCATCAAAACCAAAAAAATTCATCTTCGTGCAAAAACCAAAAAAATTATTTTTCCGTCAAAACCAAAAAAATTTATTTTCCTGCAAAAATTGAGAATTTTCTAACCAAAAAATTATTTTCTCGTCAAATCAAGAATCACGTTTTCCTATTAAAACAAATAAGCTACAATTTCTCGCAAAAACATAAAATTGCATTATCTCCCGAGAAATTGTGTTTTCCCGTGAAAACTAAGAAATTGTATTTTTCCGCGAAAACAAAAAATCACATTATTCGTCAAAAACTGAAAATTTGCATTTCTCATCTAAACCAAGAAATCAAACCAAGAAATTGCTTATTCCCGCCAAAATTGAGAAATTTTGTTTTTACATCAAACCGAGAAATTGCATTTCTCGCCAAAATAGTCAAATTTTAATTTTCCGCAAAAGTGAGTGCAAATAAATATGGTCGAGATAATACATTTTTGTGGGGCAATTGTAATCACAACATATTTTTACAAAATGGGTATGTATGTTTTATCATTTGGGCTTTTATAAATGAAATAGGTGATAAATGAAATGGATGATGTGTATTAATGTTTTAATTTGATTGGTGAATTTTTTTGCTAAGATGTCATGGTGAGAAAGCTTGAAAAAGCTTAGGTGTGTTCACCAGGAGAAACTTATGAATTATTGTTGTATTGATTCTCATTAAGTGTCCAAACCTTAAATGATAGTAAAAATATGGTAACTTGTATAACACGCCGCAATAGTAAGTGCCAACTTGTGGCCAATAAGATTTTCTCACTAGATATTTGGCTTTACAAAAGCCACTCGTGAATGTCATATATACGATTGTTATATGTGGTAATAGCATAAAACATGATTTTCTAGAGATTAGGGAGAAAAAAATATAGATTGATATAGCATAAAACATGATTTTTTAGGATTGGGAGAAGAAGAAAAAAGGTTGATAAGACAATCACTATACACCATGACCATATTACAAAATGGTAAGACCATTACAACTGAATAGGAAATTACAAAAGACGAAAGAACTAAATTAATCACAAACTTGACGAAACCATGAGAGATTAGAATTAACGAGAACTTATGATGTTTTTGAGCTTATTTCGACCGAATCTCGCCATAAGCCACTCTTGTCTGTATGAAGTGAAGATATGTCCAATCACTAATCCACAAAACACACCAGGTCCATATGCTATCCCTGCTGCTACCCAATTCAGCACTGGATCTTCCGGTTCCGACAAAGATTCTTCGGATTGTTGCACTGTAGGAACGGTGACATGGATTTCTCCACAAACTTCTTCGAGACCGTAGAGTCCAAGATTACCCACAAACGAAGAACAGTTTTGTCTTCCAAACTGTGTGCTACGTGGCACCATTCCTTCTAGATGATTGTGTGAGAAGTTGATGTAAGACAGAAACGAGAGGTTCCCAAGACCTCGAGGTATCTCACCTGACAAGTTGTTCCTTGATAGGTCTAACGTCTCGAGCTTTGTAACATTCGCCAATGATGGTGGGATATTGCCTGTGAATGCGTTGCCTGACAAGTTGAGAAGACGCAATTCGCTTAATAAACCAATGGATCCAGGGATATCTCCGGAGAATCGGTTGCCAGAAAAATCAATGGCTTTGAAAGCTTGAAAGATCTTAACGAAATCTGTGTCTACTCCTTTGTAGACCAAATCGATTGAATCTTCATACATATGGGAATCATCACCCATGTACTCTGACTCTGGTGTATCTTCATTACTCCACACACGTGACATCTCACGCCAATTTGCAAAATAGTTTCGAGGCAATGATCCAACGAAGTTGTTATTGGATATGTCAATGATCCTCATACTTGGAAACCCTAAATATTCAGAAGGGTGATAGACAGGACCGTGGAAATCATTTGCTTGGAGCACAAGTATCATTAATGATTCCAGAGAGCCTAGCCAAAATGGAAACGTGTCATTGATCTTGTTTCCTCTCACATTTAGAAACTCCATATACTTGCAGTTGATCAAGGATTTTGGTAGTTTCCCGACCAAATTGTTGCGGCTGACGTCAAGTGATCGTAACTCGGTGATATTGATGAACACATCTGGTAGAAACCCACTTAAACTGTTGTTCCTCAGGTTTAACTCTGTGAGGTTTGTGGAGTGCTTCAAACATTGAGGAATTGAGCCAGTGAAATGGTTGTTTGACAGATCCAACGCTGATAAATCTCTTAACTCGCAGATCCATTGAGGAAACGGTTCTTGTAACGAATTTGAACCAAGATTCAACTCACGTAACGATGCTACATCGACAACTTCTACTGAATTTCCAAAGCTGGTGAAAGAGTTATGAGAAAGCCCCACAGACCACAACTTAGACGAGCTCCACAAAAGATCTGGTACTTGACCTTCAAGGTTATTGTAAGAAAGGTCAAGGGCACTAAGGTTGACTAATTTCGATATAGATATAGGAACTCTTCCTCTGAAACTGTTATGGCTAAGATCTAAGGAATGGAGATTGCTTAGTTTCGATATGGATTCTTGGATTACCCCATCGAATTTGTTGTAGCTAACATCTAACATTGCAAGGTTAGATGATGAAGAGGTATTCTCAAAATCAATAGGTCCTTCGAATTGGTTTCGGCTTAAATGAATCTGGCTTAACGAAGAGATCATGAGCAATGATGAAGGAAAAGGTCCTATGAAGGAGTTGTCATTAGCTATGAATCGCTCTAAGTTGTGTAGTCTACTTAGGTCAAAGGAGAGGGATGATTTGAAGTGATTGTAAGAGAGGTCTATCTCAGACAAGCTGGTTAAATTGGCTAATGCTATACCCACACCAGTGAATTGATTTGACTTTAGGTACAATGTAGAAAGCTTCGTTAAGTTGGCAAATGAAGTAGGGATATTACCACTGAGATCGTTACTGTAAAGACTCAGGTATTCTAGTTGGTTTAGGTTACCGATTGAAACCGGAACTTCACCTACTAATTGGTTAAAAGAAAGATCAAGATATGTGAGGTGAGAAAGATTTCCTAATGAGGAAGGGATCTCTCCTTGGAGATTGCAATTTGAAAGCTCTAAGTAACTAAGATGTTTGAGTTTGAAAAGACCACTACTAGGTTTCAAAGAGGTGTTGGTAGAAGTATAGGAAACGAGTTTTAGTGATGTCACCTGTCCCGAGAGAGCATCACACGTGACACCTGACCAAGAACAACAGTCTTCGTCGACGGTCAAGTTCCATGAAACCGTTGTTACACTATCGTCCTCGTTGATTTGGATCGGGAACTCGTTTTTTAGCTCCAAAAGAGCATCTCTTTGGTCGTGTCTGCACAGAGACCGTGCAGAAGAAGCAAAGGTGTTTAGTAAAGGAAGAAGAAAAAAAAAGATGTAGATGGTGGTAATGATACCACCACGAAAGGAATAAGATGGGATTCGAATCATGGTCTCTCTTTTTTGGTTTTTTTCTTTCTGGAAAACAAAAAATAACTTTTATGTTGAATGGTCATTGATGGAACATGTTCTTTATACTATGTAAAGAACAATCATTGCAAGGGCTTGACTTGTCTAAGTTGCGTTTCTGTGGATTATTTCAACGCGTTGAATTTGTTGAATAATGGTTCTGAGGACAGCCTTTTTCGGTCCAACTACTGCATTAAATAATTAATCGGTCATCGGGTCGTGTGGTTGACTTTGACCAGTTACTTAAACCGGGTTTGATCATCAAGCATGGATCATGTTTGAACCAATGGAAACTTGTTCTAAAGCTCAAGAGAAGCCCAAATATGTGTTGATAATCAAAATGGCCTTGAAATTTCACATTGAATTTTCCTATTACTTTTCATAAAGTTGAAGCTTTATAGCAATCATGACATGCATTACATTCACAAGCAATGTTTGTCTTTTCCTAACTATGAACTTCAACAAAACTTGGAATGTAATCTCTAACCTGAAATCACAAAGGCAGTGGAATCTTTTTGCTGCGTGCAGCTCTCTTACGGCCACGTTCTTTGGTGCTTGTTGTTGCCTTATTTGAGGCTTCTTCCTCGCTCTGCTCATTATCGCTTCTTCCACTCTCGAAGCTTTCAGCTATGTCTGTTGACTCTTCCTCTTCAACTGCTCTCACTGAATCTTCTTTATCCCTTAGTGCTCTGAGTTTTGCCTTCTTTTTGTTTAACACAGAAACGAACTGCATTGAGATGAGACACAAAAAAATGGGCTCATATCAATGCTAAACATGACAATACCCTTTTCACAAAGACTACTCTGCCCCCAAAACAAAAAGCAATTAAGAGATTAGAAAAGCCAAAGGTTCTAGTTTAAGCATGAAGGATACCACATGCCTTTGCATAAGTTGCATCCTCAAACTCTATTTTCTCCTTGCTGAGTCTTTCACCTTGCGCTAGGCATTTCTCGGCTTCACTTTTCATCTTTTCAAATGCTCTTGTCTTATTCACAACTTCTTCCTGGGCGGGTAATAAGTGTTGAGAGATTGTCATTTCTTCCAAATAAGAGTAAAGATGCCAGTTCGAAGAAACACAGATCAAACAACTTAAGGTCTCATTCATCATTTTCATTACCGAAACAGAATGGTATAAATCCTTGGCCTTTTCATTATCAAACATCACAAGAAACGCCCAAAAGTCAGAATGTTTAGTGTAGAGTCTTACACTTAGCCTTATATTTGCCTCCATGAGAAAATCCAAGATTTACACTGTCGTCTTCTTACTGTCATGTGATGGTTTACATTTCCACCGCCATTCGAGTTTCGTTCCTTCGTTCTCGAAATTCCAAGAGAACTATAAACAACCAAAAATAACATACAACAAACAAAATCTCAGGCTTACTCGAGACTCAAGCTCATGTTTCCGATTCAAAATTCCAAAACTTCATAACATCAGAGAGTGAATGCTTCTTTCAAGGCTTGAATTATCAAAAGAGGAACATTTTCATATTCATTCTTTGCTCTCTCCGCTTCGACATTGGTCACCTTGAGTTTCACTGTTTCAGAGTTCATAACAACATTGTTAGAGGGGAAATGAGCACATTTCTTAAAAAGGTCTTCCCCGCAATAACATAAATTCATCAAGACTAGGAAAACATCGCCGACCTAGCTCGGATTAAAGAAAAACTCTTAAAAGACAATTATAAAAGACCGAAAACATCGGATTTACCAAAGGATAAAGGAGAATTTCCATATTTTTCGGAGAATAAGAGATATTTCCATATCGTAGATACAGAAATATTCACGAAGGACAAAAGGAAAAAGAGTTCGGAGCAACCGACCTCCTATCCCTATAAATACAGAGACCATGAAGCCTAGAAGAACAATTCATACAATCTAGAGAGCAGCATAGCTAAAATCAGAAACTCCAACGCTTTCTAGCTTACTTCGCAAACCTTCTTTTCACTTCGGCATAACCACTCGGTTATACTTTTTCTTTGTAATTGCTACGCTTTCTTACTATCAATAAAAATAAAAAGACCTTATTCTCCGAAACCCACAAATGTTAATCAAACCCTAGTGGTGATTTTCTGGTTCAACAATTAGCGCCATCTGTGGGGACTAGGAGAATAAATTCTTAGAAAAAAAATTAGTAAGAAAGCCGAAGCGATGAGCCTCCCCGTCGACAACAGCGACCTCATCTGCAACGACAACAACACCACTCGCACCGAGACACCCGCACTCGGCGAACGTACGAACATCACTACCGCGAATCCACCCGCGGGAGCACCCCCAGCTCCCATTCAGGCCGCCGACCTCGCAGCAGCTATCGAAGCCGCCATGCAGCCACTCACGTAGGATTTGGTGTCCAAACTAGACACCCTCCAGGCTCAGCAAGCCAAATACGACGAACAACTTAGCGCCTTCGCAGCCACAACAACCACGCGATCAGAGCCGATCGGACGACGTTTGATCTTCGAAACACCGATGCAAAACAACACCCAGAGTGTTGCAGCCAACGGCGAGGAGCCCTTTGGCGAACTAAATTCCGAGATCGCAAGACTTCATCAACGGATCAACGCGATCGGGTCCCAAGTTCATCGAGCCACCAGCTCGGCGCCCGAGATCTCAGCCATCCTCTCAGATGCAGAATGCAATCCATTCGCCCCACAGATCAACGACGTCCGACTCGGCGAGGCAATAAAACTGAAGCTCCCATACTACAACGGGATGGAGGATCCCAACCTATGGCTGACCGGATTCAACGTCGCCATGAAGAGGCAACGATTCGAGACCGACCTCGAACGAGAAGCCAACCACTGCCAAAACATTATTGAACACCTCAATAAAGACGCTTTGAAGTGGTTCTCTAATTTGCCCCCGGCCTCGATCAAATCCTTCAAGGATCTGACTCACGCCTTCATCAAATACTATTTCATGTTCATCACAAAAAGGACGGTCAACCTGTTCACTCTGGTGCAAGAGCGCGACCAACCACTTCGCGACTTCATCGAAAAATTCAAGAACATCGCTGCGGCATACGGGCAAATCCCTCAAGCTTTAGCCATCAAGGCACTTATGAACGGTCTGTGGTACGAATCTTCTTTTAAAGAAGATCTGCAGAAGCACCCGAAAGAAACCATAGATGATGCACTTCATCGGGTCCAGACCTTCATACGGATGGAAGAGGAGAAAACATTATATGCCAAGAACCACGACTTGGACACGGCGAGCACTTCAAAAGATAAAAAGCCCGCGAATAAAAGCAAGCCCTCCTCTCACGCTGTCGTAGCGACCACAGAGAAGCCCTGACAACAGTGGGCCTTAGGAGACCCCCCAAGGAGCACAAGCGATAGGGACGATAATCACGACCTCTACTGCTCCTTTCACGGACGAACAGGACACGCTACCTCGGCCTGTCGAAACCTCCACAACACGCCGTATGAACAATACAAAGAAAGCTAAATCAACATCGGAAGTGATCGATCCCGGAGTAAAAGCTCCTATTCACGCAGTTCAAACCCCAGGGACTCGCGTCAATCTACTTCCACCCGAGATCGCAGGGATCCGGGAAAAAGCAGCAGTCGAGGTAGTTCTGGAGGAAGGCGCCGAAGTCGCACGCTCAAAAAAAGACACGAAGAAAAGGAGAAGGAGAAGGGAGCATAGCGTCAGAACGACAAAGGAGAACACGAAAACCCGCCTCCTTCACCGAAGCGACGGGTTAATATGATCATGGAAGGACTCTCCGACTGCGATGACTCAGTCCGTGCCATCAAAGAATACAGACGAAAAGCAGTCGCATCGCAAAAATTCCCTCGTCCCGTGGTCTATCACCCTACAATCACCTTCACATCAAAGGACATGCACGGGTTACATACCCCGCATAACGACCCGCTGGTGGTCGAACTACACAACCACGACAGCGAGGTGACCAAAATCTTGGTAGACACCGGCAGCACGGTCAACATCATCTTCAAAGATACGTTGACTAAGATGGGATTCCAGGATAAAGACATCAAGGCAGCACCGAAGCCTTTAACTGGCTTTGCCAGTGAATCTTTCTTCAGCCTCGACACCATACGACTCCCGGTCTATGCTGGTGGCGTGACGAAAATTGTTAAATTTACGGTAATGGATAAACCAGCAATCTACAATGCCATACTTGGCACACCGTGGATCCACGAGATGAAAGCAATCGTGTCGACATATCATCAATGCATGAAATTCGTCACTTTGTCCGGAGTCTTCACGCTTCGTGGGGATCAACAAATGGCAAGATCTTGCTTCATCAACGAACAAAAAGTGCCACTCTCCACGGCAAAAGCACTTGAAGACGCTAAATAGGCAACGAGGACTTAACGATAAGTCTCAGCTTTGTGGTTTTCTTTTTTATTTTTTTCAATAAAATCGGGCTCAGCCCCTGAGTGATACCACTCATTCAATACTTGTAATGAACTACGAGCGGCCTGATCCCAATTCGGGTACGTAGGCAACCTCCGGGTGCAGCCGTAAATCTAATAAATTTATATTTCAGAAAATCAGCTCGGCGTATAAAGCCAAGTTTTCTTATGCGAATGCACCTTGCTGAGTTGATGTTCTGGCCAAACATTCGACTCAAAAAAGCAAGCACAAAAAAAAAACAAAAAAAAATAAGTGACTGATCACCACTCCTTTGATTTAAATACCTCCGAAGCGGATAAGAAGAAAGTCGAGGACAATACTCGCACGACCCTCGATCATACCTTTCAGGCCAATGTAAATCCTGAAAAATTGGTATTCGATCTTGATCGTCGTTTGGTGTAAGACGGGCAAAGGAATCCCGCTTCCAGTTTTGAACTAAAAAGTTCCGTCGCAAATAAAAATAACGGAGAACGATAAAAAATACAAAGAACCTTTTTATTAAGGGAATAACGAGCCATTTCAGGCAAAAAATTTACAAAAAAATCCTGCTGAACTTATAGCCCGTCAATATATGATCTACTCGGAAGATTGAGGTCGGCGCTCGTAACGGCTATCTCTTCAATGGCATCGCTGGCTGCCTTCCACTTGGCGAACTCCTTCTCAAAAGACAGAAGGGTCCCGGCAGGAAGTTCCCACCCTTTCTCTTGCATCTTTTTTAAGAAAGCCACCATATGGCTGCTTTTTTCCACACCGACGAGGGCTGCTTCCACTTCTTCGCGCTGAACCAGCAAGGCTTGAATCCGATCTAAACGCGGCTTAAACCAAGCAGACATGCCATCAAAAACTTTGTTGGCAGCATCTCGAGCAGCTTCCTCGCAAGCTTTTTGCAGCTTCTCTTTATCGGCGAGAAATCCTTGCAAACTCTCTTTGTTCCGCTTTTTGAGAAGCTCATTTTGAGCCTGGAGAGCGGCAACTTGCTTGCAAAGTCGATTAGCTTCAGACACCTCGCCCTTGAAAGTATCAACGGCGCCTTCCAGCTGAGCGCACCGCTCCTTGAGAAGCCGATTTTCTTCCTCCGCCTTTTTAAGCTCCTCGATCTTGGAAGACGCAGCGTTCACCATCGCTTCCTCCTTGCACCAGCTTTCATCATACGCAGCAAACGCGGACATATACTTTCCCAAACCCTGTAATATTACCGGCTATCAGAAACGCACCAAAGACAGGAAAAAAGTGAAACAACACAATCGTCGGATAAATAAAATTACCCGAGCTATTAATCGGCTCGCCGAGGAGATCGAGCTCGCTAGCTTCAACTCTTATAGTGACTTACCCCATCGCGGCTTCTCCCTGCACTTTCAGATCAAGTCCGCGGTGAATTTGCGATCAAGCATCGCCGGAGTATTCCCATCCCAGCTCACACAAAAATGATGAGGATTATAGTCAAAAGACTCTTCCTCCTGCTTAGGTTCGACTGGTACACTTGGTTTGGCACCACCTGCAGCTTCTTGAGCAGCCTCCTCCGGAATGCCAGGACCAGCCTCTTCCGTATCCGGGGCAACCTCGGGAGGGGTCGACCCTTCAGAATCAGTTGTGTCGGGCTCCTCGGTCCTCTCCCAACCTACATCTTTTGTGACATGTGTCTCAGTACTTTGA